AAAGAGTCAGACATGACTGAGCGACTGAAGAAAAGTCACCCCTTTGCTCTGGCTATAACGGCTCTGACACTGGGCCATCTCCAGCCCCAGCCGTATCCTCTCCCATCACTGAGGTCTGTCTATTCCACCTTCCTGATATCTCTTGAGTTTGTTCATTTCTCTCATTCTAGTACCACTCCTCCAGGCCAAACTATCACCTTCTCTCACCGGGATGATTACCTGGGCCCCTACCTGGGCTCTCTGCCTAAAGGTTTTGCTCTTTCAACCCGTTTTCTAGCAGCAACCAGAGAATTACAGGTGTAAAGAGAACCTGACCATGGTAACTCTGTTCAGAATTCTTCAGTGGATCACCCTAATTTCTGGAGAAAACTGGGATGCCGGGCATGATTTGGTCTCTGTTCCCACCTCCAGTCTCATGGCTCAGTAGCACCAGCCCCACAGTTAAAAATTTGACCTGGGGCAAATTTCTTACCCTCTCTGGGCTTTTGTTTCATGGTACCTAATCCTCAGGGCTGTTGTAAGGATTCTCTCTAGTTCCTTTGAGGTTTGTGAGGGGCAGGGGCCCAGCTTCTCCATGGGGGATTGCTGGCTGCTCAGCACTGCCCTGGTTTGTCCACAGAAGCCCTGAAAGTGGGATCTTTGAATCGAAAAGACCTCTGAGATTCCAGACTTTCTAAAATCCGTCATGAGTCAGGCGCTTGAGCAGGGCAGTGAAACCCATTCTATCCTTGCTAACTGGACAATTGCCTCATGTCACTGATGTGTATTATTATTTCCTCTGCTATAATGCATGTCTTTTTAAAAGAAAATTAGTATCTGTCAAGCATCATTACAGCACGAACCCGGCAAAGGGGCAGCCAAGGGTTGCGCATCAAGCAGCCATCCCCAAGGAGGCAGTCCCCCACGGGGAGAAATTGTCTAGGGCCAGGTCATCACAGATGATCTGGAGGACAACTCCTAGCCGAGGTGTACCCTCTGGGGTGTCTCCCCTCCCCGTTGGTCCCTGGCAGGTGTCCCACTTGTGGAGTGGGAAGGATTTGATACAGTTCTCTGGCTTGAGGAGCGAAATCCACTTCTGAAAGTGCTTGGAGTCCCCTGCCTGCCCCACAGCTGCGGTATGTGCATACTGAGTCGCTTCAGTCTTGCCCGACTCTTTGTGACCCCATGGACGGTAGCCCACCAGGCTCCTCTATCCATGGGGTTTCCCAGGAAAGGATACTGGAAAGCGTAACCATGCCCTCCTTAAGGGGATCTTCCTGACCCAGGGATCGAACCCAAGTCTCTTATGTCTCCTGCATTGGCAGGTGGGCTTTTTACCACTGAGCCACTTGGGAAGCCCCCATAGCTGCTTGTACAAATGAGAAAGATGGAAGAGCAGGTAAGGCACCATGATGGGAATGGCTCCTTCTAGCGGTCCCATCTTTTTGTGCCTGGTGACACTATGGGGTCATCAGTCAATCTTTAAGAGGGAAGCCCATTTCAGAGATGAAGAAACTGAATCTTGGAAAGAGTCCAGCCTGGAACTGGTGAGTCTGACCCCAAAGCTCCATAGGCGGTGGTGCCTGCTTGCTTTCTGTGGGTCTGTGAGATATGGGTGAAGGAAGGCCAGCAATGCAGGGGAATTTGGCTTTTATCTACATCAGATGGAGCCAGCCTAGGACGCCTGTGGGACGGGCCAGTCACACAGACACAGTTTTGATTTCTCATGGTGCTGGCTGGTTGCTGGCAGGAGCCACTCTTTCCTTTCAATTCAAAGATCCCACTTTCAGGTCTGAATAGATGTGACATATGACAGTTCTTTAGTGGTGAGTAAAAGATGGCAGATCAAGACTTCCCTGGTGATCCAGTAGTTGACTCCTCCTTCCAATGGAGGGGGTGTGGGTTCGATCCCTGGTCGGGGCACTAAGGTCATACATGTTGTGAAGTGCAGTCAAAAAGAAGAAAAAAGATGGTAGTTCAGATGCTGTGTCCCCATCGCGTCTCCTAACTGGCCAAGAGATCCCATAAAACCTGATGCGTGGTCCAGCATGGGCCCTACCCTGCCCTGTGCTTTTCTTCCCTGCCTCCTCCTTCATCTTCATCTCCCTTTCCTTCCCTCCCTCCCCCCTCCCTCCGCTTTCCCCCTGACAGCCCATGCAACTTCTCACCAGCCAGCACATAGGACTGGGAGAAAAAGAGAGCCAGCCTCACATGTGAGGAATTAAATGCTGAGCTGTGACAATCCTGCCTGCTTCAGAAAGAGAGGTTTTATGTAGTTTTTGGCATTTACAAATCCTTTGTGAAAAGGTCACCCTGTTCTTGGAATCTTTTATTAATGCTGAAGACTGGCCCCGGAAATGTCATGTCTTTTTACCAAGATATTTACTCAAAAAAGTATGACTAAGCATCTGAAATTCTATCAGGAGCTCAACCTGGACCAGGCTGGGGAATCTGCAGGGGACAAGTGGGTCCTGGGCACTCTGGAGCAGTGGGGCGGAGTGGGCACCCCTCCCCACCCCGAGCCCGAGTGAAGGGAAGGAGGGATGGATAGAGGCCACATACCCACGCACACTGTCGTCCAAGCTCCTTAGTATCTCCCGAGAGTCAGAGCTGGAAGGGATCTTGATCTGTGTGTACAGTTCAGCACCCTCATCTTACAGGTGTGGAGACTGAGGCCCAGAGAGAAGAAGGCACCTGTAGGGACCCCCAGGAAGTTGGGGGGCAAAGTAGAGACTTAAGACCAGGTGTCCTGACTCCTGGATCAGTCTCCCTCCCTGACACCGAGCTGTTGTCCAGACTCATCCTCATGCTGAGCCTGGAAAGAGGGAAGAAAGTAAGCTTCTCTCTTTGGGTCCGAGGTGCCAGTTCCTGCATCCAGGGGCCAGGGGAATGCAGTGTGGGGGGAGATATGGGCAAGAATGGCCCTACTGTGTGCCCCACTTCCCCTCCCTGTGGTGCATAGGAGAAGCGCATAGACCAGCAGTCCTCACACATCAGCAGGCATCAGAATCACTGAGGGGGCTTATAAAACTGTGGAGGCCTGGCCCCATGCCCCGAGGTTCTGACTCAGTAAGTCTGGGACAGGACCCGACAACCAGTGCTTCTAAGATATTCCTGCTGCTGCTCAGAAGGACATAGCTTGAATCTGTCAACACCTGCCGTGTTGTCCACCTAGCATCTGCTCACGCTATGTCTTCAGCTGCAGCTGTGCCCACCTGCATTTGGTGTGGGTTTGGTCTGAGGATGGATGGGAAGTATCAGTAGGAGTTGGGTGGTTGGGTGGAGTGGAATCCCCCAGATCATGGACCAGGCATGCCCATGTGGCCAATTCTCCCACTCCCCTAGATGACAAGGGATACCTCTTCTAGGATGGGGAGAAGGAGCTTTGCTATGTGGTAGTTACCCAAGCATGCCTGCACCAAGGTGCTGAAGTTTGAGGAGAGGTACCAGAGCTGAGAGCCTTCTTGATCTGGAGCTTGGTATCAAAGCTCAAGTTCACTTTCTGCCCCACCTTCTTCTGCTGTGTGACCTTGTGGAGTACCTTACCTATGAAGTCCTGGTCTTCTCATCTGTAAAATGGGATTGAGGAAGATGTCTTCTCCACTACCAATGTGATTGTTTTGGTAGGAGGAGGCAATGGATGTGAAATCCACAGGTAAACCGTAGGCTATGTACATATACATACTAGTTATTATTATTATTTTAATTTTGAAAGTAAATCAGGTTTTAGGTTTCTTTTATTTTCATCCTTGTGTTTAGAGAACTCAGATTAAAAAAAAATTGGATTATATGAGGCAAAGTCCAAACTTCAGCCGTTACATCAACTTTGTTAATTTGGAATTACTTTATTTTGGAATACACAACAAATGAAAATTGCCTATGTTTATGGTGTACAGCATGATTTTAAACATTTTTTCATTTTTTGGCTGTGCTGTATGGCATGTGAGATCTTAGTTCCCCTACCAGGGGTGGACACTGCACCCCCTCTGTTGGAAGCATGGAGTCCTAACCCCTGGGCCACCAGGGAAGTTCCTACAATGTGATGTTTTGATACACATATGTATTGTGAAATGTTTACCACAAGCAAATTAACATATCCATCACCTCACATAGTTACTGTTTTTTGGGGAGGGTAAAAATGATCAAGATTTACTCTCCTAGCAAATGTCAAGGATACAGTACAGTGTTGTGAACTACTATACATTAGATCTCCATAACTTACCCATCCTGCATACCTGAAACTTTGTACCCCTTAACCTACATCTTCCCTATTTTCCTGGTCCCTTAGCTCTTGAAACCACCATTCTACTCTCTGCTTCTAAGAGTTGAACATTTTTACATTTCATATATAAGTGAAATCAGGCAGTATTTGTCTTGCTGTGTCTGGCTTTTTCACTTAGCGTGGTAGATTTAGCCATGTTGTCACAAATGTCAAGATTTCCTTCTTTTTTAAGGCCAGACAAATATTCTATTGTATATGTACACCACATTTTCTTTATTCATTTGTCAATGGACACTTAGGTTGTTTCTGAGTCTTGGCTATTATGCATAACACTATTATGCAGTGAACATGAGAGTACAGCTATCTTTCTGAGATAGTGGTTTGACTTTCTTTGGATATATACCCAGAAGTGGAATTGCTGGATCATATGGAAGTTCTAGTTTTAGTTTTTAGAGGAACCTTCATACTGTTTTCCATAAAGACTGTACTAATTTATATTCCCACCAACAGGACACAAGGGTTTCCTTTTCTCCCCATCCTGGCCAACCTTGATTTCTTTGTCTTTTTGATAAAAGCCGTTCTAGCAAGTGTCACACCAACTTTAGCCAGGACTCCAGTTAACATGAAAGATGGGGGCTAATTCATTCTTTTAGGTTTTAGAAATGTTGACATTTGATGGTTTGGGACAACACAACCCACATTTCCTCTTCGAGGCTGAATGTTAATAATTTCTCATGAATGCTTCATAACCCTCAGAGGTGGACTTTGTAAACCTTGCCGAAATACACACGACAACTCACTGGCACAGAGTTAACTGCATTTTATGGTGTGCCAGCTGTGTCATGGAGCTTCATGAACAAGATTTCATCTTTGAAGGTAGGCAACCTTATTCCCACTTTGGAGGTGAGGAAACTGAGGCCTACAGATGTTGTCTCTTGACAAAGGCAGTGATTTAGTAAGTGGCAGAGTCCTTACCTTTTGATTGTACCCTTGGTTTCTCATAAGGGCCATGAAAATACGTTGTAAACCGTGCTGCATTGAACAACAGTAAGGGACTGTTATTACATTATCCCACCATCGATTTTTAGTGCTCAGAGTAATTTTCTTGAGCTTTTTATTTTCCTAGTTGAACAAATATCCAGCCACTTGTGCATATCGACAGCAACAGCACTGTCTACGTGGCCCCTGCAGTGTCCTGCAGTGCTGATAACACATCCTCAGCCCCAGTGACCACAGGCAAGGTGGGGACAATGAAGAGAGGACTTTAGGAGTCTTCTCCATCTTTTGTCCATCAGCCTATTGCCTGGGAAAATTTCAAGCTTGTTTCCCACCCCCCCCCACCCAACTCCAAACCACTTTGTTGCACCAGCATAATTTCTTACGATAACATTAACATATCATTGGAGCTCATTACCTTTGGTGTAATAGTTCCCTATTGAACTGTGTCAGACTAATTATGTCAGTTCCTTTTCATTCCAGTTTAGTGCTTCTCCAGAGAGTCTCAGTGCAGCACCGGTAATAATGATTAAACTGCTGTCTGATGCTCCACTGGACGTCCAAACCAAACAGGGGAAAATTTCTTGCCGAAGATGGGACTCACAGTGGCCCTTGTACTTGATGAAATTTGGTGTTTTAAAAGCCATTACCTGGTGGACATTTCCCTAGGACAGTGGAGGGCTGATAGTGTTTCTTGGGGTTTGGGGGGAAAAAGAGCAAATTAGGGAGAGAAACAGCTCAGCCAGCCACATCAGTGGCTGAGAGGCAGCCCAGGAGCATTCTGGTCGCCTCTGAGCCCTTAAGTTCTGATCTGGTACATCTGGATCGAAGATTTGCCACTCAGCTGGCAGAGGTGGGTGCGCGGGAAGAGGCCAGGGTAATGAATCAGGACAAGCCAATATCAAATGCTTAAAGCTCTGTTGCTAGTGTCAGACAAAAGAACCCAGGGAAGATGAATGAAAATGAAGTCACTTTCACCTTCCCTGTCGTCTCAGACAGAGCTCTTTGCTCCAGTCTAGATCGAACGTGCTTTTGTCTTTTTGCATAAAGGGCAGGGAGGCTGTCTCCTGCTCCCAAAACCGTAGAGACAGAGGTTGATGTTCCTCATAGCTTAATGGGATGGCAACCTGTTCTGAGCACCATTCTTTTCTTTTAAAAAAAAAAATTTATTGAAGTATAGCTGATTTATAATATTGTATTAATTCCTGCTGTATAGCAAAGTGATTCAGATACACACACACATATATATCCTTTTTCATTATGGTTTATTAGACAATATCAAATGTAGTTTACCATGATCTCCCGTTCTTGGTAATTCTTAATGATCCTAATAATAATGACTAGATATTAGCTAAGCAATTACTTTGAGCCAGGAATTGGGTTAAGGGCTTCATGTCTCCTGGCTCGTTTAATCCACAAAATAGCCTGATGAGGGACCATGGTGCAAGGAGAATAAGTAACTTGCTTAAGGTCACTTGCCAGAACCCCCATAACTGATCCCCAAGCCTGTTCATTCAGTCAACCCCTATGGTTGGGGGTGACTCCAGCCTTGAGCTGTGTCCCTCAGATGTGTTTGGAGCATCATCGACAGTCTTGGCTTTCTTGGGGCTGAGAGCTCAAGCTCAACCTCAGTTCATGGTGATCCGTTCTATAAGTGGGCAAAGGCCAAGGTCTGTGAGAACACCTTCATTCCCAAGTATTTATTTGAGTGCCTCTATGTGCCATGCTCTGCTGGGTACTAGGATGCCAGGGTCTGCAAAGCTGCTTCAGACCTTGCTTTCACGGAGGCTTCAGTCCAGCTGGGAAAATGTAATCTTTACTTAGCATTTATTAAGCTCTTTATTGGGCCAACTGGGGCTTCCCTGGTGGCTCAGAGGTTAAATCATCTGCCTGCAATGTGGGAGACTGGGGTTCGATCCCTGGGTCGGGAAGATCCCCTGGAGAAGGAAATGGCAATCCACTCCAGTATACTTGTCTGGAGAATCCCATGGACGGAGGAGACTGGTAGGCTACCAGTCCATGGGGTCGCAAAGAGTTGGACATGACTGAGCGACTTCACTTAATGGGCCAACCTCTGTGCTAAGTGCTTTTAAATAAGTCAGTGTATTTAATTCTCATAGTAGCCCTCTGTCACTCCTACAGATGAGAAAATGAAGCCTTGGAGAGTTCTGCAATTGGTTCAAGGTCACTGCTTCTAACCACCACGTTCAACCACAGGCAGACCTGACCTATTCTTGGAGGTTAGTATAATGGGGTATATAGAATTTTCCCCTTTAAGTAACCTTATTCTAAGAGTAAGAGGTCTTTGAGACTCTCAAGCCTCCTATGGGACCTAGGGGCCTGATGCCAGCTGGGCACATTATATTCATATGGACTCTGCTGCCAAATTGGCCAAAGTGGGAAGGAAGACACAGAAGCTCTGGTTCAACACCATGAGAGATAGCAGAGAAACCTATGATGTCTGTCCATCAAGGCTTTGGCTCAAGGAGGGGCATACATGCCATGCCCTGTCCCAGTGGGCCATGCGCCATGCCACTGCTGCTCAAGAAACACCAGCTGATGCTCATGGACCTTTGGGGCTGTGGGTGCAATGGAAAGCTGTCCCTTTTGATCTTGACATTAGCCAGTGAGGTAAGCATCACTATCAATATTTGTGAATGAGGAAACTGAGGCTGATGAAGTTAGCAACTTGGCCAAAATCAAAGAACCAGTAAGCGGCAGCGGAAGGATTTGGACTTGGGTCTGACTTCAGAGTTCACTATGCCCCGCCCCCACCATGTTATCTCACAAAGCAAGGCCTCCATACTTATTGCTGGGTCCCTTCTCCAGCTGTCTTGACCTTTCCATCCTTCAAATCCAAATGCTGCCATGATTACTCATTCACACCTACTCAAGAGAAATGAAAACAGACATTCACAAAATGACTTGTATGCACTGTTAAAGGCAGTATCATTTATAACATCTAAACATATGGAAATAATCTCAATGTCCATCAAAGGATAAGTGAAATGTGGTATATCCATATGACAGCACACGATGATGTTTAAAAGAAATAAAGCGTGATACATGCTACAACATGCATGAATCTCAAACATATTTGCTAAGTGAAAGAAACCACATAGAAAACCCTACATATTGTACGATACCATGTACATGAAATGTTCAGAACAGACAAATCTATAGAGATTATAAGGCAGATTATGGTTGTCTAGGGTGTAAGGGGGGTGGGGGACATGAGAGTTTCTGATAATTCACACATTGTGTATCTTTGCAGTGATGGCTATGGTCTAAAATGAGGTTTTGGTGATGGCTGCAGAACTTTGAAAATAGTCAGAGAATGGCACCTTCAGCAAGGCAAATTTTTATGGTATGGAAGTTATATCTTCATAAAGTTTAAAATATTGAAAGAGAAAAATACCTTGAAACTTCTGGACAAGATGAGCCAAAGGGCCCTTCCAGAGCTCACTGACTGAGCTTCCTGGGGCAAACCTCCTCCCTCCTGACTCCCCAGTCAATGCTCTTCCCACAAAGACAGGCTCCAGACCCTGAGCTGACCTGTTTTCTTTTTCTCCCAGGATCGAAGTGAGCCTTTTGCAGAGTTTCAATCTCTGGAGGGGTAAAGTCCAACTTCTTATTCACCATCAAAGGCACAGAATCTGGGTCAGCAGAAAATGCACATTTTTTTCCGCAAGGAGTGAGGTCAAGGAGCAGGTGTCAGGCTGGCAAATTAAAAAGGAGGTCAGGAGGGGCTGAGACACACCATCTGCCTCCTGGCTTGGGGCTGAGAAGGAGCTTCTGTTCAGAACCTGTGCAGGTCAAACAGGTGAGTACTTACAGAGAACAGGTGAGAGGGCTGAGCCGGGAGCGGGAGCATTTGCAAACCTGGGGCAGTGGAGGTTACTCCGCAGAGGGGCCTGAGGGCAGCCGAGCCCAGATCCGGGCTGGGCCACCGAGAGTGGGGTGAGGCTGAGCGGAAGCTGGGGCAGGGCTGTTAGAAGGCAGAAGAGGGGAGAGCCACTGATTTTGCCTCGGTTGGTTGAGAAAGACTTTTCTCCCCCTAGAAGAAATTACTCCCCTACCATCCACTCCCTGAAAACTTTTAATGGCAGCATAACTTCCAGAAAGTTGCACAGATCATTAGTGTAGCGCTCCATGGAATGCACACAGTGCCTGAGCTCGAGCTGCCACAACAAAGAACCACAGACTGGGTGACTTAAACAACAGACATTGATTTCTCTCTGTCCGGAGGCTGGAAATCTGAGCTCAGTGTGCTAGCCTGGTTGGATGCTGGTGATAGCCTCTTCCTGGCTTGCAGATGGCCACCTTCCCACTGTAGGTGTGTTTTTGGCTGTGCTGGGTATTGGTTGTGGTACACGGGCTCTTCAATCTTTGTTGCAGCATGCGGGATCTTTAGTTGCGGTACTCAAGCTCTTGGCTGTGGTATTTCTGTTGTTTCATCCACTCAGGCCGTGGACTTTATTATGGTAGCTGGGGCAAACTGGCACAAAGTGCATTCTTATGCTCAGTGCTCACCTTATCTTGCTTAATCCCCATACCAACCCTGCGGAATAGGAGTAATTATGGCCTCCATGTCACAGACACAGGACTGGGGCTTGGAGGTTAATCACTTCTCCCAGGGGTTAACACAGGGGTGTGCCCGAACTTCTTTCCTTTTTCTGAAGATGTTCAGAGAGGCAGGCTTTGCTATTATACCCATCTTACAGATGGGGAGACTTAAGTTCAGAGATTTGTCCTAAGTTGCTTAACCAGCAAATTGTAGGACCCAGGACTGAAGAAGGAGGCCTCTGGCTTAGGTGCTGTTGATTGCACTGCATCAGTCTGGATAGGCCAGGTTGAGCTGCAGTAATAACAACAAAACCCAGATCTTAGTGGCTTATGGCAACCAAAGTTCTCTTCTTGCTCATCCTGTATGTTCATCGTGGGTGTCTAGCCATGCTGCTTCTGACCCTTCACCCTGAGTCCAGGCTGACTGTGGCCCCTCTTTCCAACATTGCTGGAATTCTGGAGGGTCTCACATTGGCAATTAAATGCTCTAACTCCAAAGTGACAAGGGCTTCCCTGGTGGCTCAGCTGGTAAAGAATCCGCCTGCAATGTGGGAGACCTGGTTTCGATCCCTGGATTGGGAAGACCCCCTGGAGAAGGGAACGACTACCCACTCCAGTATTCTGGCCTGGAGAATTCCATGGACTATATACTCCATGCGGTTCCAAAGAGCCGGATATGACTGAGCAACTTTCACTTTCCAAAGTGACAGTCACTGTTGTGCTCAGACTCATTGGCCAGAATTAGCCACGTAGCCCCAACCAAGGGCAAGGCCAGGGTGTTCATCCTATATGAACCCAGAAGACAGAGAGGGAGACAAGATTATTGAACAGCATGCAATGAATGAGTGAATAAATGCATACAATTAGAATCCCCATCTGAATTTAGCGGGTGCTGATGGACTTGAGGGGACTCCCCAGGGAGCTCAGTGGTAAAGAATTTGCCTGCCAAGCAGGAGACCTGAATTTGATCCCTGGATTGGGAAGATCCTCTGGAGAAGGAAATGGCTACCTGCTCCAATATTCTTGCCTGGGAAATCCCATGGACAAAGGAGTCTAGTGAGCTACAGTCCATGGGGTTGCAAAGAGTTGAACACGGCTCAGCGATTAAACAGCAACAGCGGCAGATGGACCTGAGAAAGAATAGATGTATACTTGAAATCAGTCGAGCATTAGGGCACTGGGGGCTCTTTGGGTCCTAAGAATAGGTTTAAAAATTGTGAAAATGTACCGGTGTTCTGTCCCCCTGCATCATTTACAGCCCCCCCATGCCTGCATGGTCTTTGTTTCACCAAATCTCTTTGCCATTGACGGAGGGCAGTGGACCCATCCTACCCACACAGGCCCCATTCTGGGGGTGATTCACGACTGCTGGACACACACAGATGGACACAGAAGGAAATTTCTGCTTCTTCCATGAGTCTCGGGCAGCTGCGGAGACGGCAATTTTTCATGTGAGTGTTAACTGGGAGTCTTTCTCAGGCTCCCAAGCATAACTAAGCCCAGACAGGCTCTGTGAGATGAAAAGTAAAGCGTTGTTTTTATGATGTCATGAAAATCCTTCTTTTTCCCTCTAAAAGAGAAACTTATTTATTTCTGTGTGTGTATGGGTTTGCAGTAAGTGTGGAAGGATTAAGCCTTTGAAACTGTCGATTTATACCCATGAGCAATGTGAAGTCTTTGTCTCGGGGAGGAAAGAGACTTCCAAATCAAGAAAGAAAAAGTCAGGCCCCTTCACTCCTGCACCCAGTGGCTCCTTCGCTAAAGGGTTACTGAGTACCCGTTGACCGGGGTCTGGTGTCAGGGGACCCGGCTTCAAGGCTGTGCTGGATCGCTTTTTAGCTGTTTGTGCCCTGACTTAATGTCTCTGAGCCTATTTCCTTCCGTATAAAGTGGGATTTCACATGAGGACATAAAGATGAAATGTATTCATTCACTCATTCAAGCCAATATTGAGTGACCACTATGGGCTAGTGCTGTTCTAACTGCTGAGGGTTACTCCAGAGTGAAAGGAAAGTAAAGGACCCCTTGGGGGTGGGGGACACAGATTTAAGTGCTATGAAGGAAAATCCAGCAGAGTAGGGGGTAAAGCGCGTCAGCGTGCAGTGGAGTGGGGGTGTATTGGAGAGTCATGAAAGGCTTCTTGGAGGAGGTAACATTTGAGCAACTGATAACAAGGGAGGGAACAGAAATGGGATACAGGGGAAATCATCATTGCAGACAATATTTCTGTACCTGTACTAAGTGTCAGGCAGTGTTCCAAGGGCTTTACCTGGATTCTTCACTAATCCTCTCTCTGCCCTGAGAGATATCATCATTGCACCCTATTTACAGAAGGCAAAGCTGAGGCACAGAGTTAAGTGATTTGCTTAGGTCCCAGGGTTTGAACCCAGTGACATGCTCCGGTAGCCACCATCCTAATCACCACACCACACCTCAGCCAGGGAGCCCAGGCTGGGATGAACATTGAATTGGGACAAAGTGCTTTGCAGATGCAGAAGCAAATGTGAAAAGCCATTGCTAGCATTTTCTTCAGGACGTGAAACGAAATCTATCAGTACTCGTGGAACCCGTGGCCTGCTGCCCACTTCTGCCAATTTCCCCAAGAACAAGGGGGCATCGGGGAGACCTATGGCCTCAACTCCCTACATGACTCTCATCAGGCTACAGGAAAACATATTGTGCTGAGGGGTGGGAAAAACTGACAAACAAAAGGAACAACTGCATTTGCTCTTTGTAAAATATATCCACATGCCGAAAATATGGAAAATGGAGAAAAGAGGAAAAGTTATCCACGTCGTCACCATTTCAATACAAGCACTGTTAATATTTTGGAATATTTCCTTTTATCCCTTTTCAAGAAGGTGAGTGTTTTAGTAGTAGCAGCAGAAAATAAAGAACTCAAACATCTGAGAATATGTAGATGATAATATAATGTTATGTAGCAGGAAAATATATGATATTGCACTATCTATTTAATTTCTACATTCTCCAAAGTATCAGCTCTCCCAAACAATTCAGGGCAACCTTTACAGCCCTTTGGCAGATCACTAGAGACTGGGTTTCAGGTTGGTCAGTTCACTCTGGGATTATCTGTCAGCCTGATGGCCACTTAACTATGCTGTCACCTGTTCCTATGGTCACCAAGCATTTTGATTGTATACCCCTCTTAGGAAAGAACACTTTAGCATCTGCTTTCAATATAGGCCTATTTCTTTATAAATTGTACTACTACCAGCCTGCAGATTAAATATTAGTATGATTGTCGCAGTTGATCCTTGAGGGGCACCAACCCTTCTCAAAGTGAAAAATTCAAGTATAACGTTCTAGTCAGCCCTCTGCATCTGTGGTTCTGTATTTTTGGTTCAATAGTACTTACTAATGAAAAACAAATCTACATATAAGTGGACCCACGCAGTTCAAACTCATGTTGTTCAAGGGTCAACTGTACTTGAATGTTAGTATAATATTTTAACATAGTTTAATTTCTTATTTTTATATAAAAGTACAGATGTTCTAATATTGTCTTCCCACATTATTTCTTGGGTTTCTCACATCCCTTGATTTAATCCCCCCCCTTCAAATCCAGAGAGTTTTATAGATAGTCATGGGGTATCCTGTTGCAGTGCAAAAAGATGCTACTATACTTAAGGCTAAAGCCTGAGCCCTGAGAACTCAGGAATTCTGTGTTGGGGCCAATTTTCTTCAAGTCTGAAAGGACAAGGTGACCCCAGCTGACCAGCCAAATCCCAGTAGTAACTGGGATTTGGCTTCAACCTCCCCAGCCCAAGTCTTCTTTTCAAATACAATGGGGCCACAGACTACCATGTAGAGAGTGAATGAGGGCTTTGCTATGCTGGCTGGGAGGGAGCCAGGGTTCCCCTCATGTGTGTAGCTCCCCAGGGTCTCCTCTGTACGTGAGAGTATTTGTAAAGTCCTTTACAGATGACAGAGCCCTGTACAGCCATTATCTGATTCGATTATCACAACACTGACCCTTTTAGAGTGAGAACGAGAGTGGGAAAAAATTAGAGAGAGGAGAAAAATGTAGGAGTGAGTTAAGCTGAAATGCTGAGACTGGTTCTTCTTAGTTTTATCTGTTTTTGTTTTTATTAAGAGCCTGGGTCTTTTGGACACAGATATGTGTTGGGGCCAATTTTCTTCAAGTCTGAAAGGACAAGGTGACCCCAGCTGACCAGCCAAATCCCAGTAGTAACTGGGATTTGGCTTCAACCTCCCCAGCCCAAGTCTTCTTTTCAAATACAATGGGGCCACAGACTACCATGTAGAGAGTGAATGAGGGCTTTGCTATGCTGGCTGGGAGGGAGCCAGGGTTCCCCTCATGTGTGTAGCTCCCCAGGGTCTCCTCTGTACGTGAGAATATTTGTAAAGTCCTTTACAGATGACAGAGCCCTGTACAGCCATTATCTGATTCGATTATCACAACACTGACCCTTTTAGAGTGAGAACGAGAGTGGGAAAAAATTAGAGAGAGGAGAAAAATGTAGGAGTGAGTTAAGCTGAAATGCTGAGACTGGTTCTTCTTAGTTTTATCTGTTTTTGTTTTTATTAAGAGCCTGGGTCTTTTGGACACAGATATCTCTGTGTCCAGCCAGCAGTCAGGTGGGAGAAGCAGGCCTCTTCATGATCAGACTAGAGACAGCCATGGACTCGGTTTCCAGCAGTGACAAGTGGCCCCAGGGGAGCTTGCTGTCCTGACCCTGAACAATGCAGAGGTGCATATCTGAGGTCTGGGTCTTGGCCAAGAGTCGGGGGTGAGGGGCCTTGCCTGGCCTCAGCCAGTTTAGCTATGATTAGCTATAGCCATGGGGAGCTGACCTCGCCTTCTTCTCAGAGGTAATCACTTCTCAGAATAATCACTTTCTGAGGCAGGGGTTAATTTTATGCCCATTTTACAGATGAGAAAACTGAGTCTCGGAGAAGTTCACACCTGTTCGTAAGCATCATAACCTGGTCTGCTTGACCTCAAAGTTTAACGCCTACACTCTACTCAGTGAAAAAGATTCATAGAGAAGCACAGCTTACAGGAAAGGATTATGTAAAGTGACTCATTTGCCATCAATCAGACCAAAACAGCAAGAGAAAGAAATACATTTAAAAGCTCTCCAAAATTTGTCATTTGCTTGGGTTTATCCTGATTTACACAGGAATTGAAACAAAGCTTAAAAGACTGTATCCCCCAAAGAGGAAACCATAGTTTGATTATCCAGGGATCCCCCAGAAGCCAAGGACTGTTGTTCCAGGGGAGAAATTTTCAGACTCCCAACTGTGTGTGTGTGGGTGTCATAGCTGGGGAGATGAAGGGGAGAGAGAGGCAGAGCAGGAGGAGAGAGTGTGGGACCCCCACGTGATCTCCCTGAGGGGCTGACCCCAGACTCTCCCTATCCGTCTCCTCCCAAGCTGCCCCGGGGCCCAGCTAAGTGTTTTAACTGTCGGCTCTGAAAAAGGCCATTTCCCACCAAGACTATAAAATGGAAAAATGGAGAGGCCGTATGCACGGCAAAGAATCAAATGTGCAGAGCCTTCCACGGAATTTATAAATCAGTTACCAGGAGCATTAAAACGCCTCTTGCCGCACTTAATCTCCGGCATCCTTTCTTCTCTTCTTCCAAATACCAAACACATCGTTCTTTTTTACTGGCTCTGGTGGACTCTTCAATGAAGTCTGTTCCTATTTCAGAATAAATATATGTGTATTCTCTTCTCTGACTCTGCTTGACTGCAAAACAAACAATGATGCATGCTTAGGCCGATTCTCCAGATGAATAGGAGAGCAAGCGGTTTTGCTTGTCTTGGTCTGGGCGCTTTCTGGGAGCAGGAAGCATGGCTGGGCTGAGTACAGTGCTGCCTGCAGCACCCACATAACTTAGGACACGTAGGCTGGATGGAGTCAAAGCTGGTCTAGTAAAAGACAGGTGCACCGAACTGTACCCCAAGGTGTCCCTTAGACAGCTGTATCCCTGCAGGGCTCACAGAGGCCCTCCCTGGGCCAGGCACTCTCCTAAGCCCATTACATTTATTGACTCAGTTTAATCTTCACAATAACCCCAGTCCTGTTTGATTCCCATTTATGGAAAAAGAAATGGAGGCACAGAGAAACTAGCTTTCCCAATATTAAAAAAAAAAAATTTTGTTTATTTATGGTCAAGCTGGTTCTTTGTTGCTGCTCGCGGGCTTTTCCCATCTAGGACGAGCGAGGGCTACTCTCTAGCTGTGGTGCTCGGTCTTTTCGTGGCAGTGGCGTCTCCGGTTGTGGAGAATGGGCTCTCGGCACATGGGCTTCAGTAGTTGCGGCTCTCTGGCTCTAGAGCCCAGGTTCCATAGTTGTGGTGCACGGGCCCAGCTGTTCCATGGCAAGTGAATCTGCCCAGACCAGGGATCGAAACTGTGCCTCCTGCGTGGCAGGCGGACTCTCCACCACTGAGCCTCCAGGGAAGCCCCAGCTTTCCCAGTTTTCTGCAACCAGTAGTTGGTGGCGCTGGGATGTGAATCCAGGCAGCCTGATCCAGCAACAGAGCTCATAAATGCCACCCACAATCTCTGCAGGAGAACTTCCCCACTTACCATAGTTCAGGGAGTCTTCTGGAATGCTGTTTGGAATGAGAGGACAGAGCTGTGCAAACTATCAGTCTGCTTATTCCCAGGACATCTGTCTGCTGGGCTGGTATGCTATGGGCTGTTCCCATAACAGAGGAATCACCACCCTTTAAAACGCCTTGATCAAGTCAATACTTTGAAGCTCTGATACTTTGGCCACCTGATGCAAAGAACTGACTCATTGGAAAAGCGCCCGATGTTGGGAGAGATTGAAGGCAGGAGGAGAAGAGGACAACAGAGGATGAGATGGCTGGATGGCATCACCAACTTGGTGGACATGAGTTTGAGCAAGCTCCAGGAGTTGGTGATGGACAGGGAAGCCTGGTGTGCTGCAGTCCATGGGGTCACAAAGAGTCAGACATGACTGAGTGACTGAACTGAACTGATCAAGTCATAGATGAGTCTTCTGCCAGGTGGAGGGCAGTTCAAGCACCGTCAGCTGAAGCAGGCCCACCCCAAGCCCCATAATCCCTGGAAGGCTGCCCTGGGGAGAAGCCTGGGTCTGGGGATCCAGAGGAGAGAGTCTTCCCCCTGAGGCTTTGGGAAAGCTTGGCTGGGAAAAGAGGAGGTGAGGTGGTCTGAACAAAGAGCCTGGGCTGAGGGTACATCTTTAAGATGCCTGTGACACATGTGGGGTGATGAAGAGGGGCTTCAGAACCTGGCTACCTGGCAATATCCCAGCTCATGAATGATGCCTCTCTTCCTGAATGTCAGATTGTCTCCCTTGGAAGGTCCACGGCATCTTTTGGAGAACACTGTGTGGGGTCCTTGTCAGACACCCAGACACTGCTGAACTTGGCCACTCACCTTACACACAAGGTCTCTCTCTCCCGTTCCTTCCTGAAATTGGTCCAAGTGGGGCTCTTGATGGCTCCGTTTATGGTCCATGCCCATGCACACACCCTCGCCCTCACCCTCACACCCACCCCAGTGTGTCCAGAGGATCTAGGGGGTAGTCTTGGTTTGGCACCCCCAGTGGGGTTGCTTGACTTCTGGGAGCTTGGTTGAAGTTGGTACCTGGGATCCCCTTAACTCCTAAAGGCAGGGCTGTGAGACCCAGGGTAGCTGTCACCAGGAGCTGGCAGGAATGATTCTGTGTGAGGGGTGTTTGGGTGCTCCATCAGGAGCCCTCATGACCTCACCTGTAGGGCCTCTTCCTGCCCTGAAATCCCACAGTCATTAGTGGGGATCTGAGGGGGGATGTAGATTAAAGATGGCAGGTTATTGAGGTGGATGATGACCTGTAACTAAACAGCTGAATCGTAAGGAGAAAAAGGAAAAGAGTCAAGCCTGGAAGCCAGGGTGGTTTCATGGGAAACAAATCACACTGAAGAATTTCCCTGGGAGAATCAGCAGCTCATTCTAGTGTGAAAACATGGAAAATGATCTCACAGTTGGACAACACTTCACAGTTGGGTGGCACCTCCCTTGACTTTGGTTTCTCCCCTGCCCCTCTCATAAGAGTCCTGGGAAGTAAGTCTGGGAATCTAACACCTTCAGTTTACAGATGAGAACCCTAAGAGAGGAGATGGGATTGGCCCAGACTCGCTCAGCCCAGGGACAAGGTGTAGACTGCAACTCAGCGTTTCCATCTCTGCTTCAGGACCCTTTCTGTGGTGTGCATCAGGGTCTCTTGATTTTAGCAAGATATGCAACAATTTGCACAATCTCCTGGAGGGCCAATTAGAGAAGTGTCACCAGGGTGATGGCAAGCGTGGTGACTTGAACATCAGGGTCCTTAGCTCTTTAACAACTGAATGTGCGATTCTCTGGAGGACCCCAACACAGCGGTCCTTCCATGACCAAGTGCACTAGATCCCCAGTTGGCTCCGTTGCCCTGCTCCTGCTCCCAGGTGGAGTTCCAAGTCTTGGATCGTACTTCTCAGCCTGGGGCCTGGTGCTGCATTCCAGATTAGGACAATTTTCTTTTTCACCAACACACAAATCCCTCATCGGGGTGCCCAGTTATTTTCGAGTCCTCTGTGAGCAATCTTATCCCTCATTTCCAGGAACTGCGTTGGCACCCGAGGCTCTTGCAAGTAGCAATTTACTAGAACAAAACCAAATCCCTAGTCAGATTCAAAAAGCAATGAAATAAATAGAATTGCATTTTTCATTCGATGTCAGGCCGGTAGAGACACACCCAGGCAGGGGCTCAGAAGTACCTTGTTTGCTGTCCTTTTAAAGAGACACTGCTGGTCAATCAATCAGCTGCTTTCATTTAAACCTGGGAGCACAGAGGGAAACAGAGAACAAAAGCCGCTTTTCTCCTTCCAAGAGTCTCTGAGACCAGCTGTTCCTATTTCTTAAATCTGCAGACCCCCTACTCCCATCCTCTGAACCTTTCTCCTACTTCTTTTCCTCAGGAAACTTTCAGCGGGAAAGGAGCATCTGAAAACACAGGTTTCCATGGAAAAGACGGCAGGCTGGGCTTTGTTCTCATCTCCAGCTGATGGAGACAGGCCTTTGTGAAGGCGGCAGGGAGCGCTGTCGGGGTCATCAAGTGGTGGAAGCCGTCTCTGCCCTCCAGCACATCCTCTTTTTGCTGCGCTGTTCCACACACTGACTTCTCCCAGAGCTGGCTTGATTTATAGCAGGACACGGAGAGCCTGTCCTGGAGCTTCTCTGATTGTTCCCTGTGTCTCCAGCCTCTGCTCCATCCCATGCTGCTGCCTGCTTCTGCCTGACTGGGAATGTGATTCAGCTCTGTTCATTTATGGCGCAGTGGTGGCCGGTCAGCAGGACCGAGCTGGCCATTTCCTTATTAGGGACCCAGAGAAAGGGGAGTGGTGGATGTTGTAGATGGTAGGGTCCAACTCCCTCCTTTAGAGATGAAGACCCACAGGCCCAGAGAGACCCAGAACTGGCTCAGGTGCACAGTGAGTGAGACACTGGGTCCCCTGGCCCCAAGCTGGGTGGTCTGTCCATTGATACATGGAGCCCAAGATTTGAGTCGGCCCTCCCGAGCCATGTCCTTGGTAGGGGAAGTGGAATGAGATATCTGGCAGGGCTAAGCTCTGTGGCAGAATGATAAATGGCCCCCTTGCCTTGCTAGGAAGTGGGTTCTGGGAACAAGGGCAGCCAACGGAGCCATTTATCCACCTCCCAGTCAGCCATGGGCCAGCCCTGTGGGGAGTAAAGAGAGGGGAGGCTACGGGCACTCCAATTTGTTACTGGCAGAGACTGCTCTCGGGGGTGGACCAGAGCCTCAGATGTGAGGTCTGTCTGTCCTACAGGTCAGGGCTAGGCCAAGAACATCCTTTTAATTTCAACTGCATTTAAAATCAGAGCTTTAAAATTTATGTTAATGGCAACTCTGAGCCTTGAAAGTTCATGTGTGCGTATATAAGATACATAAAATTTTTTTTAATGGTATAGGATACAGGCTGTGGTAAGATAAGAATTCTCAGACATAGGTGATGAAAGAATAATTTTTTAGAGGCCATTTGGCAAGTGTCTGTGAAAGCCTTAAAATATTTATGCTCTTTGTCTTAGGAATTCGATTTCTGGAAATACATCCTAAGAAAATGATTATAGATGGATAGGAAGATGTTTATAGCAGCACTAAATTAGTTTCAATCTTAATGGCTATTAAAATACAATGGTAAACTATGGTATACCCATTTGGAAAATTATTGCGAATCATTTAAAAATGAGGTAAAGAATTCTAATGATATAAGAAATGCTTATGATACAATGTCTAATGAAGAAAGTAGAGTATTGTAGTCTAAGCCTTGACTGATCTGATTTTTTTTTTTTTTCTGTTTTGTAATACAAGTGTCTGACTTAAGCTTTGATTTCGAAGGCATCTCTTTAAAGAGGTATCTACTTCAAAGCTTCCCAGGTGGCACTAGTGGTAAAGAACCTGTCTGCCAATGCAGGAGACATAAGAGATGTGGGTTTTATCCCTGGGTTGGGAAGATTCCCCTGGAGGAGGCCATGGCAACCCACTCCAGTATTCTTGCCTGGAGAATCCCATGGACAGAGGAGCCCGGCAGGTTACAGTTGGGTCACAAAGAGTCAAACATGACTGAAGAGATTTGGCACATGTGGCACTGCTTCAAAGCTGGCTATGGAGACTAAACACCTGGCCAGTCACACCAGGCCACCTTCCCTCATGGAAGTGCCTCTGTTTTAGTGGTTGTAGTTGATTTCAATAACGAACCATTTGGGACTCTCCTTCTTTTTCTTTTCTCCCTTCAAATTCCAATTCTTCTGTTTTAAATTCACCAGTAAAGACTGAGCTGTAGGAACCCTAGGCCCCTACCACGACCCCAGTAAAGGCAGAACCCCAGACTCGTGACATGTGCGCGCTCTCTCTCCCTCTGCAATCTTGTTCTGTGGCCCCCGGCA